TCAGTAAAAAGCTTCCTCATTTTACTGGCCAAATTCTTTAATGTCAAGGCTAGTAGATTGTTAGCTGACAGCTGAATCTCAGAAGCAGGAACATTTGCTAGCATATGAACATTGCACACTTTGTGGCTTCATTCAGTGCTATAGAGTTCATGCACAATGCAGCAGACCAGCATGAAAAAAATCCTTAATATTTGATTGACTGTGTGCCATCCAGTCATTTTTGATTCCTAGCAACCAGAAAGATAGATTTTCTTCGTGGTGATTTATCCCTAGCCTGTTTTTTCAGGTCTTCTTCTGTGTGCTTTGCTTGGCATAAGTACGCATGGTTCAGAAGTGAAAGGTTTTTTGTTTGTCCAGACCTATATGCAACTGCCGGTAATGCTAGCAATTATATTTCCTTCCACTACTAATATGCCAATCAGTGTGTCTTCCTCCCCCCCCCCCAAAAAAAATATTTATTTACTGAAAAGGCAATTTTTTTTCTTGGCCCTGGATTTAGTCTATCAAAAATCAAGCAGCGAGTGCTGAAAACAGAGAAACTAAGGTATGAATGACCTATCTTACAGAAAATGCCAGTGCTCCAGTTACAGGTCTCTGATTCCTTCCTCCTCTCTTGTTCACTCAAGTTGCCTGTTGTTGTTCTTCAAGGCTAAAGTCCAAGGAAGCTCTTAGCTAATCACTTGACAAAGAGCTCTTTGTGATGGGTTCCTCTGGGGAAATCTGACTCTCTTCTCCCATCTGTAGAAGCTGACAAGGATCTGGAGTGCAGGACGTAGATCTCCATTCCTTTTCTGTGGGCTTTGCAAGTGCGCAGCAAGAATAATTTCTGCTGCAGGCCTCTCAGAAATGTATCTCTCATTTATAGCTGCTCTTTTCTTTTCTGTTCATGGGGCTGATACGTCGAAGATTTGCCCCCATCTCTGCTTCTGCTATGAATCCTCCAGTTTTGTGGATTGTCACAATCGGCACTTGGTCCATGTTCCTCACGGCATCCCTCACAATACATGGATGCTGAATTTGAGACACAACAACTTGAGTGGGCTAGAGGTAGGCTGCTTTGATGCTTTGTGGTCTTTGAAGATCCTTCTTCTGTCCCACAACTCCATTGCAAAGATTTGGCCCCAAACATTCATGTCCCTGAGTTTCCTGGAGAAGATGGACCTCAGCTACAACTTGTTGGCTCACTTACCACATGACTTCTCAAATGAGTTGACTTCCCTAAAGGATCTCAAGGTGGCCCACAACTGTTTGAGAGCTTTGGGTTTTGAAAGCTTGCAGTATATGGAGAACTTGGAGAAGCTGGACTTGAGCCACAACCTGGTCACTTCGATTGAGAAAGGGACTTTCCGAGGACTCTCCAGGCTCCGACATCTCTACCTTCAGTCTAACAGGCTTGCAGTTATCTATAATGGCTTCTTTTTTATGCTTCAGAACCTGGAAGTTCTTTTGCTTAACAGCAACAACATCAGCTTTATCGAAGTAGAGGCTTTCACTTCATTACACAACATGAATTTTCTGGCTTTGACTGGCAACCGGCTCATCCACCTAAAATTTAAGACCTTCCTGAATATCCAAACAGTAAGCACACATATCCAGCTGGCTGGTAACCCATGGGCCTGTGACTGTGATCTCCAAAGGGTTTTTGGCAAAATCACGAGTGTTCGGCACCTTCATGTGGACGATTATGAGAACCTCACCTGTTTCAGTCCTTGGCAATTAGCTGGCTCGCCTCTTGTTTCTGTGGACAGCCAGCTGTGCATGGCAGAGACAGCCACTGTCTTGGTGATCACAGTTACTGTCCTGGTGACAGTGATTGCTGCGATTGTGATGGCAGAAAGGAACAGGAAGAAGAACCAAGAGAAGAACTGGAATGAATTGGAAGGGCCTTTTGACTCGCAGGAGAAATAAGACAAGAGACGAGAAATAGACTTTGGGTGTTTTTCAAATGTTGTTTTACTATGATTCTTTAAACCTGATCTATAATTCCAAATTCTGCTTAGCTTTTTTCTTTTTAGTCAACGTGGCTAAAATTCCAGATGTATTGGAATTGCTCGTGGGGCAAGTGACGTCATGAATTTACGTCACATGTGTAGTGAGGATGTCATTGCACAAATGATGTGAATCACGTAATTTGCATCAGTCATGTTGTGCTTATTAGATCATGTTCTTTGTTCTATCTATTTATGTATTTTATTAGATTTATATTCTGCCTTTCATTCAAGGTGACAAAGATACCGCTTCGTCCTCCTGTTTCCCCCCCCCCCAAACAATAATCCCATGTGCTAGATTGAGCTGAATGAGAGAACAGCTGGCCCAAAAGCACCTACCGGTACTAGGGAATGGCTTTGAAGGACTGGAGGAAGACCCAGACAAGTGAGTTCATCCCCAAAAACTAATTTGAGAAAATGTCTCATAGAAGCTTCTTTCTGATTTACAGCAAGATAAATGAGGGACAGGGAAACACATGCAGAGTTTCAAGTTTCTGTTACTGTTCTAGTGAAACTAGTTTTAGATCTATAGAGCATTGGTTTCTTGGTCTGGTCTACCTTATAGGCTTTCACCCAGAGACCTTCCTTGATGAGGGTGGACTAGAACCCTGGCTTGTTTTCTTACACACCTTCCCTTAGTTTGTCAACCTGGTTTCTTTGTGATGAAAATTGTGCTAATATGATGGGATATCATGTCATCTCGGCTTGTACTGGATACTTGGTTTGGATTCCACGAATGAATGAATATGAATAAATGAATGAATGGACACAGAAAACATTTTTGTTAATTATGGCACTACTTGGAGAAAGGGAGCCTTACAACAATTATTTGTGCACTGGCAGCTTCTGATTGAGAATTCAGCAATAATGTAAGCTGCCTTGAGAATGCTCTCAGAATTTCATTTGGGGAAGAGGTAGGTAGCATCAACCATTTTTAGCCTGCAGTCGCTTGATAATACGAGTGCTTTGTAATCAGCACTGTGGGCCCCTGCCCCCAAGCCAAACTCAAAGTGCTGCTTAACCTTCAAAGCATTCCAGGACCAGGTTATCTGAAGAGGCATCGCTTCCCCTGTTCCCCTACCTGGGGCTAGTATGCAAGACCTCAGGAAGTTGCCCACTGAAAGATATGAAATGATCGACACCTAGTGGGGAAGGAGAGTCAGTGCAAAGTTAAGGTGTTGGACTAGGAATGGAGAGATTCGGTTTCTAATCTTCCCTCAGCCGCTGAAGCTCCTTCTAGATCAGGGGTCTCCAACCTTGGCAACTTTAAGCCTGGCGGACTTCAACTCCCAGAGTTCCCCAGCCAGCTTTGAAGTCCGGCAGGCTTAGCTTTGCTAGCTGGGGAATTCTGGGAGTTGAAGACCGCCTGGCTTAAATTTGCCAAGGTTGGAGACCCCTGTTCTAGATGACTTTTCATGATTGTTATCATGATTGTTCTCATTATCAACTGATCAGTTATTCCTGGTGTGTATTGCAACATTAATCCAAAAGATGAGAATAGCAACGAGTTGGGAAATTTTGACTGGGAGCTAATGATATATTACTATTTAGCTCCTGATATGATGAACATGCCTGTATCTATTTGATCTTCCCTAATGTAGGGAGGGCTGGAGGTCCTGTGTCACCTCACAAATTGGGAGCCAACCATGGTCTTGAGATACATACTTTCCATTTCTGGACTTTGGCTAAAGTGGACAGTACTCATAAAAAGTATAATGCAGCTGACACAGGGCTCTTCTTGTACCTATCATGGCAACAGAGTCTAAATCTGCATTGCTAAGCTTCCCCAACTGTTTACAGGACCTCAAGGGAGCCCTTGCTTGCCTCCCCGCTTCTCTTCCATCCCTGCAAAACATTGGCCGTACCTTGAAGCAGCATTTCCCCCCACCAGCATCTCACTGATCGCAAGCACTTTGTTTCTGGAAACTTCCATTTTCATTTCCAGTCATCTTTTGAAGGAAATTGGAAACTGAAGAGGCACTCAAGCTCTCTCTGCTGATAATTGGAATCTGTAGATGTACAAAAAGGTCAGTGGCCCTGGTTTCTGAAATTAAATGCAGAATATATTCTAAACTGTGATAGCTAGAACATGTACTTCAGGAACCTGGTGACGAAAACCGGAAGGGCTTGTTCGATGGGATGACAAACACTGGCCAAGTAGGAACATTTCTACAGATTCCCTTATTAAAATCAACAACCAAAAGGTTGTTTTTGTTTAGTCCAGTGTTTTTCAAACCTTGCAATTGTAAAATATATGGGTTTCAACTCTCAGAATTCCCCCCGAACAACCTTTGCTGGGCATGGAATTCTCAGAGTTGAAGCCCATGTTAAGAGTTGCTTTGTTTGAAAATCTCTTTATTTAGTGTGTTGAATGAATCTAACCAATTGTAAACTCTTCATTATGAAATAAACCTTAGTAAAATTACCATGGCTTAATATATTACGAGAACCCAGCCAGTATCTATGAAATCTGGACAAAACCGCAGAACAAGCCCTGATCCACAGAGTCTTAGCTAGCATGCGTGAGCCTCTTCCAAAGCTTGCAGAGAAAGCAATCCAGATAGAGGCTTCGCTTGTTGACACGTGTAGAAACAAAGGTGTAGATTGCTTTATTGCAAAAAGTAGACCATCTGTGGCCTGATGTTCTTTTAAGAGTGCGCCACTGAAAATGGGTAGCAGGTCACTGAAAGGGAGCAGCAGTTCAGGGAGCAAAAAGAAGTAGCAGCTACATTTAATGAACAACTAACATACACTTAGTTAGAAGGTCCGTCTTTTCCTGGTCACATTTATCCTACCCACCTGAGCAGAGAGGGAAGAAATGCTATGGGTCTCCTTTCCTAAGGAGGTACATCTAGCAGGTTCAAGAAGTGACCTTTCCATAGTGCCTCCCTCTAGAGGTGCTTTTCTACCGGTTCAGACCGGTTTGGGCAAACCAGATGTTAATGTTACATCTGGTTCGCCGAACTGGTATGTCAACTGACTGGCTGGTCCCTGCCTACTCCTCCCCTCCCCTCCCAGGAGTCTTCATGTGGCCCATTTTCTATGGAGGTAAGTGCTGGGTCTGCGCAGAGACTCTGCGAGGGGGAAAAACGGGCCTTCCAGAAGTCCAGAAATGAGCCAGGAGAGGCTGTTTTCACCCTCTCAGAGGCCCAGAGGAGGCCTCTGGACCCTTGGGAGGGCAAAAATGGCCACCCTCGGACTCTGGAAGCCCACCGGAAGCCAGAAACAGGAAGTTCCGGTAGGCCATGCCCACCATGGCCACATCCACCCAGCAACTGGGCAGAGAGCTTTGAATCCCAGCTCTGCCTCCCTCCCTGTGGCTCTCTGCCCATGGAACATCATGTCCCCCACTTCATCATTTTTTTGTAAGACTGTGAAGATGTCCTGGTTTTGCCAAAGGGCCTGGGGAACCCAGAGTGGGATGGAGCCCTTCAAATGGCTTCTTTGATTGACTGATTGTTGCTGGTGGGGGGGGGGAGGATGTGGGGGGTTATTGCTTTTTATTGTTTTATATTGGGTTTTCATCTTTGTAAGCCATTGAGATTCATTGAGATAATTTTTTTTTTAAGTAAATAAATACACGAAAGCAAAAACAAAAACAAAACACACACTGCTTCCCCTGCTGCCTCCAGATACCAGGAAATGAAATGATGGAAAAATACAGTCAGGTAAAAGGTTGCCTGCACCTCTTTAATGGGTGTCTGCCTGTTTGCCTGGCAGAAAAGCGGACACTCCCACCTGCTATCTTTTACAGTGAACCTTTTGGAATCTGATTTACAGGTAGTCTTTGACCTACAATCATTCGTTTAGTGACCATTGGAGGTTATAATCTCACTGAAAAAAAGTGATTTAATGACTATTTTTTACACTTACAACCTTTGCAGCATTCCCATGGTCACGTGATTAAAATTCAGACCCTTGGCAACTGGTATGTATGACAACTGCAGTGTCCTGGGGTCTAACCCTAACCCTAACCTCTTGTGACTTTCTAACAAGCAAAGTCAGAGGAAGCCAGATTCACTTAACAAACATGTTACTAATGGAACTGCAGTGATTCCCTTAAGAACTATGGCAAAAAAAGGGTTGTAAAATGGGGAAAAACTCACTTAACAACTGTCTTCCTTAGCAGTGGAAATTTGGGGCTCAGTTGGGATTGTAATTCAGGGCCAGCCTGCATAAGGACTAAAAACAAGGCTTGAAACCCCATTTCTTCCATGAGCCACTCCTGTATCACCCTATTTATTATTTATGGTTTATTGCCTTGGTGATTAGATGTGGAACACATTCTGGTCTCCACTCCATTATTATAGTTTCCCAGACTATCAATCCCATCCTGATTAGCGGTGTGGCCTCTCTCTTGTTCAGTTTGGGTTAACCTCTGAGTTCCTCTTCTGGAGAGCTATAGAGTTGACTCAGCCTTCCGTCCTTCCGAGGTGGGTAAAATGAGGACCCAGATTGTTGGGGGGCGGCATTATGCTGACACTGTAAACCACTTAGAAAGGGCTGTAAAGCATTGTGGAGTGCTATATAAGTCTAAGTGCAAATTGCTATTGCTATAGGGATTTGATTTGACTTAATATTGTTTGAAAGCAAGGAGTGTGTCTTATGGCATACATCTATGGGCATTGTCTTTTGCTCTATAAATTCAAGTCCAGAGGCACACCTGATAAACATATTTGTGTCATTTGGTTATCATCCAGCTTTTTCTTTTATGTAGAATGAGAGCATCTCAGTAGATCTCAATGTAAATATAGTGTCCAAGGGCTTGCATTACAATGGCTGGAGTTTTTTGTTTTTAAATATCTTTGATTGATTGACTGACATGAAGTCAGAGTTGACTTTTAGGGCTCACATACTGCAGGTAGATTTTCTCTACAACCTAACCTGATTTTTTTAGGTCTTCTAGCAGTATCACTGTAACTTCATCCATCCATCTTGTAGCTAGTATTCTTCTATTTCCTTCCACCATTTTCCCCAGCATTATAGGTCTCTTAAATGGGCTAGGTTTTGCATAATGTGCTCAAAGTACAAATTGAGGCCTTGAATAAAAGGAAGTATCATTACCTGAGGAATCATCCCGTCCAAATCTCACTGAAAGTGAAACGTCAGAAAGGAGAGCAGGAGACTTGACAAAGGTCTGTCTCAGCTAATATCTGGGCGGGAGACTAAGCAGGAGGGCCATAGATCACAACTGTTTTGTCCCAGAAAACCAGTTCTTCCCAGTGTGCAGTGCCCAATAAAACTACTCACCAAAAATGGAGATTTGCAAAAGCTTTATTTTGCGCAAAAGAAAGACACACTAGGCCTGTTGTGAAGGCCACTCCTTCAACAGTACAGTTTTTATACATATTTCTCCATAAGCCCCCCTTAAGACAACCCCTCTTAATCCATCCAGCCATTTATTAACATTGCTTAACTTACATTTGAATTATCTAGCAATAATCAGCAGTTTTGTCCCTAATTTCCAGTAACAAGTAGCACACTATGCCATAATGAGTACATTGCCCCCTTCAAGGTCCTCCTTTCACAAGTCATTGCCATATGTGTGTGTGGTGTATGTGTGTGTGTCTATATATATATATATATATATATATATATATATACACACGCGCGCGCACACACACACACAGACGAACACAATAGAGAAGCCTGATGATGACAGATGAGATTCTGCCGAAACGTTGCTACAACTTTAAAAGCACAACTACAATGATGTGGGAAAATACCCGAACAAAGCTGAATACCCTACATGTAAGTACCTGCGAAAACTTAAGAAAACATACATTTCCTGTTTTTCCCTCAATTTCCCTGTTCAGGTAGTCGCCTTGTTCTGCAACTACGTTAAAAGCAAGCATGTTCTGAGATATTTTTTTTTACTAATTAAGCTGTTTCCATTACTTCTTATGCACTAGCAATTAATTGGAAAATGTCTGCAAATAAGACTAGGTTTTTAGGGGAAGGGGGAATCTAGTGGCCTTTCCTTCAATTGGCCAATCATTCACTGTACCAAACCTAAGAAGTAATTAAAAACTTGATTAGGGTGACTGGATTGAAAAAACAAAGAAATTCCAAATTTTTAGTGCTAGCTATAAAATTTTATCTCCTTCATGGATCACTGCCTTGTCACAGTGAAGGGGCTTGTGTAGCTCAATGAAGCTATGAGCTATGCTGTGCAGGACCACCCAAAATGGACAGGTCATAGCAGAGAACTCGGACACAAGGTGATTCACTGGAGAAGGAAACGGCAACCAACTCCAGTATTTTTGCCATGAAAACCCCATGCACAGTACCAAAAAGCAAAAAGATATGACGCTGGAAGATGAGCCCTTCAGGTCAGAAGGTGTCCAATATGCTACTGGAGAAGAGCAGAGGGCTAGTACTAGTAGCGCCAAAAAGAATGAAGCGACTGGGCCAAAGCCCAGCTGTGGATGTATCTGGGGGTGAAAGGAAAGTCCAATGCTGTAAAGATCTATACTCCATAGGAACCTGGAATGTAAGATCCATGAATCAAGGCAAGCTGGATGTGGTTAAACAAGAGATGACAAGACTGAACATCGACATTTTAGGAATCAGCGAACTAAAATGGACAGGAATGGGTGAATTTAATTCAGATGACCATCAGGTATACTACTGCGGGCAAGAATCCCGCAAAAGTAATGGAGTAGCCTTCACAGTCAATAAAAAAGTAGGAAAAGCATTACTGGGGTACAATCCCCAAAATGACAGAATGATCTCAGTTTGAATCCAAGGCAAACCATTCAACATCACAGTAGTCCCAGTCTATGCCACAACCACTGGTGCTGAAGAGGATGAAATTGACCGGTTCTATGAAGTCCTACAGCACCTTATAGAATTAACACCAAAAAATGATGTCCTTATCATCATGGGGGATTGGAATGCTAAAGTAGGAAGCCAAAAGATAACCGGAATAACAGGCTTAGAGTACAAAATGAAGCAGGGCCCAGGCTGATAGAATTTCATCAAGAGAATATGATGGTCATAGCAAACATTCTTTTCCAACAACCCAAGAGATGACTCTACCCATGGACATCACCAGACGGTCAACAAAGAAATCAGCTTGACTATATGCTCTGCAGCCAAAGATGGAGAAGCTTTATACAGGCAGTAAAAACAAGACCAGGAGCTGACTGTGGCTGAGATCATGAGCTTGTTGTTGCAAAATTTCAGCTTAAGTTGAAGAAAGAAGGGGAAAGCACTAGGCCACTCAGGTATGAATTAAATCATATCCCTGATGAATATACAGTAGAGGTGACAAATAGATGTAAGGAATTAGATCTGATAGACAGAGTGCCTGAAGAACTATGGATGAAGTTTTACAACATTGTACAAGAGGTAGCAACTAAAACCATCCCACAGAAAGCAAAATGGCTGCCTGAGGAAGCTTTGTAAATAGCTGAGGAAAAAAGGGAAGCAAAAGGCAAGGGAGGAAGAGAAAGATACACCTAATTGAATGCAGAATTCCAGAGAATAGCTAGAAGAGATAAGAATGCCTTCTTAAATGAACATTGCAAAGAAATAGAAGAAAACAATAGAATAGGGAGGACCAGAGATCTCTTCAAGAAAATTGGAGATATAAAGGGAATATTTCATGCAAAGATGGGCATGATAAAGGATCGAAATGGCAGGGACCTAACAGAGGCAGAAGAGATTAAGAAGAGGTGGCAAAATTACACAGAAGTACTATACAAGAATGAGCTTAACGTCCCTGATAACCATGATGGGGTGGTCACTGACCTCAAGCCGGACATCCTAGAATGTGAAGTGAAATGGGCCTTAGGAAATCCGAGTAACAACAAAGCTAGAGGAGGTAATAGTATTCCAGTTGAGCTATTCAAAATCTTAAAAGATGATGCAGGAAAAGTGTACACTCAATTTGCCAGCAAATTTGGAAAACTCAACAGTGGCCACAGGATTGGAAAAGGTCAGTTTACATTCCAATTCCAAAGAAGGGCAATGCCAAAGAATGTTCAAACTACCGCACTATTGCACTCATTTCACATACTAGCAAAGTTATGCTCAAAATCCTACAAGCTAGGCTCCAGCAGTATGTGGATCGAGAACTACCATAAGTACAAGTGGGATTTCGAAGAGGCAGAGGAACTAGAGATCAAATTGCCAACATACACTGGATCATGGAGAAAGCCAGGGAGTTCCAGAAAAACATCTACTTCTGCTTCATTGACTATGCTAAAGCCTTTGATTGTGTAGATCACAACAAATTGTGGCAAATCCTTAAAAGAGATGTGACCTGACCATCTTCTTTGTCTCTTGAGTCAAGAAGCAACAGTGAGAACTGGACATGGAACCACTGATTGATTCAAAATTGGAAAAGGAGTTTGGCACACTGTATACTGTCGCCCTGCCTATTTAACTTATATGCAGAGCCCATCATGAGAAAGGCAGAGCTAGATGAATAAAAAGTTGGAATTAAGATTGCCAGGAAAAATATCAACAACCTCAAATATGCAGATGATACCACTCTAATGGCAGAAAGTGAAGAGAAACTAAAGAACCTCTTGCTATGCTGGTGAAGAAGGAGAATGCAAAAATTGGCTTGAATTTCAACATTAAGAAAACTAAGATCAAGGCATCCGGCCTCTCAGTTCCTGGCAAATAGATGGGGCAGAAATGGAGATAGTGACAGATTTTATTTTCCTGGGCTCCAAGATCACCGCAGGTGGGGATTGCAGCCAAGAAATTAAAAGACCCTTGCTCCTGGGGAGGAAAGCTATGGCAAATCTAGACAACATACTAAAAAGCAGAGACATCACCCTGCCAACAAAAATATAGTCAAGACTATGGTTTCCCCAGTTGCGATATATGGCTGTGAAAGTTGGACAAGGAAGGCTGAGCACCAAAGCATTTCAACTATGGTGCTGGAGAGTGCAAGGTGATCAAACCGGTCAGTTGATCTCCTAGATGAGATCAACCTCAACTGCTCTTTAGAAGGCCAGATCTTGAAGATGAAACTCAAATACTTTGGCCACCTAATGAGAAGGAAGAAGGACTCACTGGAGAAGAGCCTAATGCTGGGAAAGTTTGAGAGCAATAGAAGAAGGGGATGACAGAGAATGAGGTGGCTGGATGGAGTCAGTGAAGCAGTAGGCGTGAGCTTAAATGGACTCCAGAGGAAGGTAGAGGACAGGAAGGCCTGGAGGAACATTGTCCATGTGGTCGCGATGGGTCAGACATGACTTCATAACTAACAATAACAACATCATAAAATTTTATATTTCTACCCAAAAGCTTCCAGACTTCTTTTTCCATTTCCTTGACCACATTCATTCTAATGCTTGCTTCTGAAGCAACATTATCAAATGTTATTAACACTTACCAGCATTACAATTACTTAAAACACTGTGAAAAACAAGGGTCATTCTGAAAGAACATTTCAGCTGAGTAGAATGGGGTGCTGAAGGGTCTCTTCTTAATAGAGCTAATTCTTCTTGTGCTTCTCTTCCCAGCATCCTTCTCACTGGGATGGCATGTTTGATCTAAGATGCAAATTTCATCCTGGTTTAATTTCTTCTTTTTTTCTCCCTGCTTTCTTATTTACTTAGTTTGAAAGCTAGGACTAGGGGAAATAAAGATTCAAATTCAACCCAGTTAAATTTGGATGCTGTTCAACCAATCTGTTTCATCGCTTAGCCTATAAAATTGACGGAAAGCTGACATAGGAAGAGAAGGAGCAACTTTGCTGTCTGGAGATTATCTGGGCAAAAATGAAAGAAATATCCACTGAACAGGAACCAGCAAGATATATGCTTTTTTCATGATTTCTAACATTTTGAAAGCAAATTGTAAGCACTGTCACAAACGATTATCATGATGATCAAGTCCTTCTAATCACAAAGTACCAATTGACCAGAAAGTAAATGAAGATGCTGCTTCTCCTTCCCTCTTTTTCTGGAGAACTATGTTTTCAAACAAAGCAATGCCTCTCCCATCATTTAGTTGTATTACTCTAGTTTACATGGGTTCAAGAATATTCTTAAAACTATAGCTGACAGAGGCCCCTTCTGCCAGTTTTTCATGTTCCAGGGGAAAAAATTATAACTCCATACAAAGACATACAGGGTGGAATCATAGGGCACTGTCTTTTGTAAAGACTTTGCAGATTTTCACTTCAATCTTGTTCACTCTTAATAACTGGGTTTGTTCTTGGAAAGAGTAAAAGCATAGAATAAGATTCCTATTACTCTCAGTTTCGCTTTTCCATGCTTCACTTTCTCAGGCTCCATATACAAGTTGTCAGTTCTGCTACCTTTTAAAGGCACCAACAATAAGTGGATTCCTTCCACTAGTGATTTATTGGCCATGTCAATCAATCACAAGCAAGCAAGCAATCAATCAACCAGAACAGAGCTGGAACCAATCTTTGAGATCTTATAGTCCAATCCCTTGCTCAAGCAAGAGACATTTCAGACAAGTGATTGTCCAGTCCCTTCTTAAAAACCTCCAGTGATGAAGCACCCACAACTTCTGATGGCAAGCTGTTCAACTGATTAATTGTTCTCACTGCTAATCAAGCTTCTCTCCTCGATTAGCTTTCATCCATTGTTTCTTGTCCTGCCCTCTGGTGCTTTGAAAAAGTTGGGCCCCTCTCCTCTTGATGGTAATCTCTCAAACCCTGGAATACTGCTGTCCTGAGAAAAGAAACCCTAAGAAACCCTTCTTTTCTCCAGACTAGCTAAACCCAAATTCTGCAATGACTATGTTTTAGTCTCCAGGCCTTTTAATCATCTTGGTTGATCTTCTTTGCACTTTTTCCAAAGTCTCAACATCTTTGTTGTAATGTGGTGACCAAAACTGGATGTATTTCAGATGTGGCCTTACTCCTTTTTTAAATGTGATTTTGATTCTATTCCAAGGATTGTATTAGCTTTTTTGGCTGCTGCTACACACTGCTGGCTCATATTTAAGCAATCATCCACTAGGACTCCAGATCCCTCTCACAGTTATTGTTTTTGAGTTCCCATTTAACCCTGACACAAAAATGCCCTATTTGTCTGCTTTGCTTCATGCTGCTCCCTTCATCTCAGTTCTAAACCATAAGATAGATTCAATTAAGAAATCCTTAGCTGTACTTAGTAATATTTTCCCATTTATTCCAAGATTTTCTAAAGGCAGTCTGGGGTGTATAAAATCTATTATACCATTTCACCTGTCATTTTGGAAGGAAATTAGGTGGCTGCAAGGGCTTGAAAGAAAGACTGGAGGCTAGATATAAGTTCTAGGCTGCAAAAATCTAAACAATCATGATAGCAGAAGGAAAAAAAAAAGATCTATCTGGTTGCTTGAATTTTTGTAGCCCAGAACAGAGTTCAGCAACTTTTCATGCTGATATGAATTTCCTGATGACTCAAGGTTGGGTAGCTGGTAGTACAGCTCTACAATCCTGATTATATCTTTTCCTTATTTTTTAGCTCTGTCAACAACAACACCTTACAACTAATGAAACTACTTTGTATATTTTTCCTCTTTTTTTCTTTCTTTTTCCTATTGATTTGGCTTTAATTGTATTGATATGTTTACCTGTATTCAGATATCTTAATCTGAATTTACAAAGATGAGGAATTGTATGGTGCTCAGAGTCAGATTTTAATTTAGCAGTTTATATACTTGGTCAATGTGGTTAAATATGTAGTTAAAATAGATAAAATGTAGATAAATAAATAAAGCTAACCATTTAAGGAAACAACTAGGTTTCAACTTAGGCTATTTTATTCTTAACTATTGTGTAAAATATAATTAAACACAAAAGAAGACAGTAGTTTCCAAAAGGTAACTCTGCTATTCTTCTCAAGCTTTTGTTTGTTGGTTTATGGATATTCCTAACTCTAACCCTCAATTTTTATAGATTTTTATGAGATTAAGCCACTGTGCCAGATGCATGCTGTTGGTTCTTGTGAGAGAGGCTTTGTAAATACACACAGTCACAAGCTGTCCTCAACTTACAACCATTTGTTTAGTTATCATTTAGCTAGAACGGCACTCGAAAAAGTGACTTATGTTTTTCGCACTTATGACTGTAGCAGAATCCCCATGATCACATGATCAAAATTCAGAAGTTTGGCAACTGGCATGTATTTATGACAGTTGCAGAGTCCTGGGGTCATGTGATCACCTTTTGCAACCTTCAGACAAGCAAATTCAATGGGAAAGCCAGATTCGCCTAAGAACCATATTACTAACTTAACAACTACAGTGATTCACTTAACATCTGTGGCAAGAAAAATCATAAAATGGGGGAAACTTAACAACTGTCTTGCTTAGCAGCAAAATTTTTGGGTTCAATTGTGGTTGTAAGTCAAGAACTACATGTATAGAAGGCGATAAAACAGAAGGAGGGGAAAAGTCTCCATAGAGGTGAGAATAGTTGACTTCTGGCTGCTATTGGAAGCGAGGACTGTGAGCTCCGTGGTCCCATTCTGAGCTCACCCCGTGGTCTCGTTCCAAGGGCTCCAATCGAAGCTATAGACACCCTGGAGTGGTGATAAAGTTAAGGCCTAGCAGGTCGAGGAGAGATGCATCTCTCTTCCCTGACCTGGAAAAACCCCTCATCCAAAGATGAGATACAGCGACAACCAAAATGGCTGCCATGAAGTTGGGGACAGTCTGAAAACCCAAGACAGTGAGGAGCGAAGAGACAGTGAACGGTGTGTGAACTGGGCGAGAGAATGCTCTTGAACTTTTAAATGCAACCCTGACAAGAAGACTCAGAAAAGAGGACTCGTAATTATTCTTAAAGTGGCAATGACCTAACACTGGAGTAGAATTTTAAGGAAGCAAAGCAAAATAAAGGAAGAAAATTGTAAATCTATTAAAAATATAGAAAATTGGATTCTTTGATTGGACAGACATCAGCTTTGGATAGACATTTTTAAAATGCCGTAATCTATTTTTTAAAAAATGAAATAACATTTATTTTTGGAAAATATTAGTAAAGTTTGATGAGAAAGACAAAAATAATAATAAAAGGTGAAAACTGATTTAAGAGCGCCATCTGCTGTCAAAGGAAGACACTACAGATCCCCAAAGTTTTGATAAGATTTGGTTTAAGAAGTTTATTATTAAAAGACCCCTGAAAGCTATAATACAAGATTCAACTAGTAGAGGAATTTATGAAGGTTTTACACTTGGACTATTTAAAAAAACAGAATGATTAATTTTAGGACATAAAGACTTTTGGACATTGGATTTTTCATGTGAAAAGCGACTTTGGTTTGAATAAAGGACTGTTGGACAATTGAACAGGAAGAAATAGAATAAACAAAAACAAAGATGAGTGGAATTTGCAAAGAAATTGTGTTGGAATTTCAGGATATAAAAGATACCTTGGCAAGGAGATTGGAGAACATTTTGAATAAAAAATACAGAGCACGGAAGTGTATCTGGAAATGGGGACTCAAATGACAGAAAGAAAGCAGGAGATCTAGGAAGAGGAGGAGCCAGTCGGAAGAGTAACCAGAAAGACTGAATAGATGAAGCAACAAAGAAAAAGAAATGATAAAAAGGAAATAAAAATGATAATGATTGATGTAATAAACCAAGAGAAGAGTACTTTAAGGGAAGTCAAACAAGAGTTGGAATTGTAGGGAGAATTTTTTGGGAGAAAGACAGGGGTAAGAGCAGATAATTTGAAAATGAGACAATGGAATATAGTAGGGAAGGGAGGAATATTCAAGAGGAATGGTCAAAAAATGATAATAGAAATGAAAACTTAAGAGAGGAATTTGGGAAACAAGCTAAGAAATGATTAATTAAAGCTTTAATGCAAGTGAGGGATGATGGTTAAAAGGGGGGAAAAGATTACGATTCCACATAAATGTGTGTACTATTAGTTAAGATATACAATCATTGAATGTAATAAATAGGAATATTAACATTCTATTGCAGGAAAAGAAATGGTACGTGGAATCTGATTGACATAAAAATAATATAGTGCAATACAGCATAAGATAATGAAAGATCACAACTTAATAAAAGCAATTATACTATTATTAGAATTACACAATATGTTAAACATTAATAAGATGAATACTATTTTATTTGCATTAAAATGTGACTTGAAAAGGGATGCTTTAAATATAATAGTGGCACAATTCAAAATTAAAAAGGGGATAAATAATGGAAAAATATAAATCAATATGAATTTGTAAATTGTTATTAGAATTATATAATTTGTTAAACACTGCAAATATTATTAATACAGTATCTATAGTAAAAGGAGCGATATTAAGAATATAGAGATTGACATAAAAATAACATACTGTAATATTTAATAATTAAGATTGATAATTTAACAAAATATGTGTATTAATATCAAATTTTATAAGAATGTCAACTGTATCAAAGATGAAAACTATTGTCATATTTGTTTTAAAATGTAAAACATTCCAGAACCACACTGTTCACATAATGATATCTTGAAACAAAAAAAAAATAAAAAATGCATTACAAAAAAAAAAAAAGAGAGTGAGTCAGGCTTATTTGAGGAAATAGGTGATGTAGCCTAAGACAAAAATTTTCTTATAGCTGTATCAAACATTACAAGGACAATGGTTTTCCATCTTTGCTTTTTTTGTTCTTTTAAGTTCAGAAAGTTGAAAATAAACATATTTAGTAATATTTAGGTAGTACTTCTGTAGATTCTGACATTTTATGTGGGAACAGGTCTTACATTGTTTTATTGTTACCAGAAACAGAACAGTGTTTTTTCCTGCTAGGTCTTTGGTCTTGGACTACATATATGCCATTTCATTCTTTATCACTAGAGGGCGCACCTCACCAGCTATATAGTGGGTTACTTTTCTTTCTTCCTTTTCCCCTTCCTACCATAAAAGAAATTTTTTACATCTTCCAATGTCTGTAAATCTTTTTTTTCCTATTTATTTTAAGGGAATTTAAAAAAAAATTCTCTGTGTTCTTCTTTTGATTACAATGGTAAAGAATATTTCACACTAATACTACTAATAATAAATGAGTTATCACATTTATAAAAAGCACATCACCAGTGCAAGAAGAACCTGATTGGCAGCAGATATTTTAGCTGGAAAGGAAAGGGAGGATTAAAAAAAAAAAGATATTGTGGTCTCTCGTAAACCAACAGATTTATTATGACAAAACCCTTGATGGCAAATTGCAATAAATCTGTTGTTGTTGTTGTTGTTTTACATGGCTCAAATCTTTGTGTTATTTTTCTGCAACAGACTTCCCTTGCAACCCCTCTGGAATTTGTCATATTAAACACACACACACACACACACACACACACACACCAAATGGGGAAATTTCAGGCTGACAGCTGAGTGGATGAGAAGCTACCAAGGTGTGAATAGAAGAATATCTTAGTATTTTGTATGATCAAATTCAGGAAGATTCAGCTCTATCCAGATAATAATCTCTTCGTCAAGAGATTATTTTTCAATTTAGAGATTCCTCAGAGACTGTAATTCCACTACATTTGAGAGAGAACCAAAGAAGGAGATTCAGGTCTACATAACTTGGTATGCTTGCTTCTCTTCTCCACCCCACAATCTCCCCCAAATATAACAGCCATGGCACATCCTGAAGAACAACACACTTTATAAAGGCAGAAACACCGATTGATTAGGGCACATTTCGTTAAATGTTTAGAGTGGCGTGCATTTATCTGCTATATACTGAAAAACAGTAAGAGTAACAAAAATTGAGAAAGGACAGAACACGGGTAGAAAGGTTGGTCTGAAACAATTCAACTGGAGTTTTAAATTAGTGTAGGGACATTTCTTGCACATAATTAAGCCATATTAAATGGCTTCAGACTGCATTTTTTGCCTGTCATTGACACTGAATCCAAGTATTTATATTTTTAATTCCTTTCCATCCAAATTAAAAAAAACTCTTAGTATTGGTTTGATTTTACACACTCTAGCTATCTGTGTCTCTGAAGTTTCTCTCCCCCTCCCTCCCTCCCTCCCTCTAGTCAAGATGACAATGACTCCATAATCAAAATATCTGTTTTTTTACATGCAGGTGCCATCTTGATCTTTCGGATTCCCTTATGGATGCACTTGTTTCTTCAAGCTAGCCTCATGCCTGTCAGTTAAATGTATAATTCTCTCTCTCTTGCTTTTCCTTGTTTTTGTAAGGAAAAGGACCGGGGCTTCAAACACACAGGCATTTCTTGTTGTTTTTACCTGATCCAGGGCACTTAGCTCTGATGCCTCTGATGAAATGACCCATACCAACTCCCTTTGCAATCATTTTCAATCAGCACACCATTTTGCTTGCTGGCTAAAAATGGTGAGAGTTATAGCTTAACACAGTTAAAGGGCATAAAATTGGGGAAGTTCTCGTCATGGACATTATTTTCTTTTGGGAGAGGCAAAATTACATTCCCAATCTACCAGTGATTTACAAGGGGCATTTAGGACCCACATTTCTCTTCCCTCATCTAACTCAACCAATTTTCACGAGGATGGGAGAGACATACAGTGAGAACAGGTGTAGGGATTGAAGTTGGTCTGGAAACAAGACGATCGAGGCTCAAATCCTCCCTTGACTCACCAGATGGCTTTACATCAGTCCTTTAGGTGGGATAATTCTAAGTACATGTATAAAAGTTACTTTAGGTCAGGGGTATCAAACTCGCAGCCCATGCGCTGGCCACCCCCCACCCCCGTTTTAGCGAAAGGGAAAAAAGTCCCGATACGTCACATGACGACAATGTGACGCCGTGAGTTTGACTTTAGGGCAAACGTTATGTTTCCCAAAGGAATGCTTCAGAGATTTCTCTGGTGGTCTGTGAAAATTTCCCTCCCTATCGCTTCACTTCTTGTGATTTTGTGTGGCCTTTGACTGAAATTGTTTTTGATTTGGGGGGTTGGATCCCAAAGCCTTTTCATTCTACCAGATGGCTAAATAGGACAACAGATATGTCAATTCTGAAAGCAGGGTATTTCCCCTTGTATTAGTAGTAATGGAATAGAAAAGTTAAATGCAAGAAAGAATGAAATGGAACAGAATGAAAAATCCACTTCTATTTCAAGAATTTAGAAGCATTTTCAGACTATTCTTCTCTTTTGGGTGGCATATGAAAAAAGGAGTCCCAGACTGGGTGGAGTTTAAATTGAATTTAAATTGAATGGAAATTAAATTAATTCAGTACAGATAGTATGATCAGTTTCATTCAGGTACTAACTTTTCCATTCTGACACAATCAAAATCATTTAACATTAAATGTTTTGGAGGCATTTCTGTGTTAAAGGGATTACTCACTGGCAGGGTTGTAAAAGAAGCAACTTCTTCCCTTATAGCCTTCCTGGGATTCCACATCAGTTATTTTACACTGATTCAGACAAACAGGGTTACCCTTTCTGGAAATCATTTGTCTCTTTTGGGAGGGATAAAAACTGACTTTATTTGACATCATCAGAGTCTGCCATGCAATTCCCATCGCGAGGAAAGTCTTCCTGTGAGGTGACCTTGACTGCTGCTACTGCCTGATTCAACAAGACTCAGAAGCCTGCCTTTTTGGGAGAACGAAATACAGTCAAGTGATCCTTATGTTCCCATCACCATTGGAATCCTAATTCTTTATGAGATTTATATGCGCTTAGCCCTTAGCAGATGGCAGTTCCTAATTGACCTTGGGCCACCCCAGAAAAGCTACACAAGGTGAGACTGGTTCATGGTTGGATGAAATATCATGAGGGATGGCCAAGACTGGGAAGGCTAGACTAGGAAGTCCAAAAAAATCCCAGTTGGAAGCAATAGAAAATCCACTTCCATATGAGGTCAAAGATGATTCCACACAGTCACTAGGAACTGAGACACCATTCGAAGGAATTTTCACACTTTCCTAATTTAACCTGGACACCCAAACCAGCCCATTACCTCTGAAAAGTTCAAAGCCTGAAATTGTGAGGAATCTCCCGAAGGAAGAAACTTCACACCCAGGAAAAGAGTTCATACAGTCATTCCCAAATCCAACTTTTGTCAGCTCAGCATCTTCAGAACACCCATGAAAATAACGACAGGAATCTCATCTCACCCATCTCAAGAGCGCCTCTCGGAGGAGACTGGCTTATTCCCCAGCTGTGGAAACCTGCATACACTGTTAGGAAGATGGAAAAGGAAAAGTGAGGAAAATAAGACATCAGAAATGAAAAAGAAATCTGCAACAGTTAGGCTGACACTGTTGCAAAAGGGAAACGTTTGATCGTAGGTATAGCGATTACCACGAGGCATGGCATGAGGCATGTTTCATCTCTATTTGAGCGTATTCAGGTGCAGGAATCAGGTGTTATTCTGTGCTGTGACCCCTGATGACTGTCTGAACAAGTCTCTGTATTTTTCTTGGCAAGATTTCAGAAGAGGTGTGCTAGAGCCGCATTCCTGAGACTGAAAGAGAACGAATGGCCCAAGGCCACCCAGCTGACTTTGTACTTAAGGTGGGGGGATTAGAACTCACGGTTTCTTGGTCTCTAGCCTGATGCCTTAGTCACTACACCAAACAGGAGGTTCTTGGTGTCCTATGGGGCAGCAATAAAAGTGAAAACTGTAAGTCTTTTGTTAGCTTCAAGTCTGAATTGGACCTAAGCCAAGTATAAGTAGCAGGCATTTGGTAAGTCTTCACCTCAGTCGGCTCGTCTGGCAACAACGGGTAGCCATTCCATTCCATTTCCCACAATGCTCCAACATAGCCTTAGTTCCTTGCATTGGCAATTCCAATTGTCTTGCAAACTCAAATGGCCGCCTTCCCTTTGATGGCCTCCTTTTCTAGGGGAGACGAACAAGAGGTCATGTGTTGGCCTCCAAATCCACAGGGGGCCAGATAGTAATTCCTACTGACCTCCAGGCACTAAGTCAGCCCTGGCTACATTCAGATCCAGAAGCTTCACTTCAGTAGTGGGATTCAAATTATTTACTACCGGTTCTGTGGGCGTGGCTTTGTGGCATGGCATGGCTTGGTGGATGTGGCAGGGGAAGAATACTGCAAAATCCCCATTCCCTCCCCACCCCATTAACCTACTTTCCAGCTCCATTCTCCTGTGCAGGGCAACAAAAGAATACCCAGCCTATCAGCTGGGACTCGGGAGGCAGAGAATAGATGGGGGCGGGGCCAGTCAGAGGTGGTATTGACCAGTTCTCTGAACTTCTCAAAATTTCCACTATAGATTTCTCCAGAACTGGTCAGAACCTGCTGAATATCACCTCTGCTTTACTTCCTACAACAGGGATGTGCTGAAATGGCAGCTGCTACATGTAAAGAAAAAGATCAGGAAAATTAAATAATCAAGGCTAAAAATTCAGGCCAATGCACCAAGCAGATGATGATCCTGAAAGCTTTTAAGACAAAAATGGGGCAGAGACATATCCTTTTTAAACAATCCTGACTCAGAAGTGTCCATGGAAGAGGCAATGTCAAAAAAGCTAGAAAGGTGGCTTCAATAACATGGTTTCAATTGCAATCTTCCAACACCGTTGGTCAACATAGCCAACAGTAAGAGATGCAGGGAGATTTAGCTTAGCAGTAAAAGGAGACCTCAGCTTACTCACCTCAGGAACATCCCTTCTGTAACATTGCCAAGTAAAATACCAGAATATAGACTTGACTCAGGGCAGCAATCCCCAACCTTTCTGACTTTGCATACCCGTGGAGGGTGGGGGGGGGAGAGAGAGGGTGATTCTGTACAAGTGACAAGCAAGCGTACCCTCAGCTCCATTTGCGCAAGCGATGTGCACATGCACCCACCAGTTGCACAAATGGAGCTTCATGCGTGTGCACACATTCACCCACCGCATTCACAGCCCGGTGGCTGTAGTAGGCCACGGCCTGAGGATTAGGGACCCCTGGCTTAGGGGTCTCTTATCTTTCTATTTAACCCCAATAATTATCTTTGCTGCAAGAAAATCAAGAAGGCATCTTTCTTAATATCGAAAAGGTGTTTTTGCAGAAACACGCCTGTACAACCATAGTCACAGGAGTGTCAAATTGGCGGCCAGTGGGCCAGATGCATCATGTGCAGGCCACGCCCACTCCAGCTCTGCGAATGGGAAAAATGACACAAAATGTCACGTGATGGCAATATAATGCGGCGTGTTTGACACCCGTGGTTCCTTGCTTTTAGCACTGATTCTTGAGAAATAGAGGATCCAAATTCTGAAGCCCAACAATAATTCTGCTACATGCTTGGAACCCAGAAATATCTGCAGGACCCAGTGCTTTAGTTAAAACAATGAAAGCAACATTACACCATTATGTTGCAAGGTCCTCTATATTTCATATTTGTGTGTGGTTTGTTTTTTACCTGCCCCCCTGCAGATACTGTTGCCTGCTTCCTGCGTAAAATTTGTGCATCTGTTCAGACGGAGACAGAATGACATCCAGAATACACATGGAAGTATTTTTGCTTTACAATACCTGTTTCCAGTCTACTTTTCCAAAGAGGAAATCCCAAAACGAACACTACTAAAAAAGCATGCTTCAAAAGGAGGAAGGTTAGAACTTAAAAAGAAAAACAAATAATCTACACGTAACAGAATATAGTTTTCACTTAACTACCACCCGCTATATATCCCTTCTTACCACACCACTTTATTAGCAATTTATTCTTGATTGAAATTATTTTGGTTTTCAAACTGTAGTTATGAAATTGAATTGGCATAGCAGCACAGGTCAGCTTTGTCAGAATCTTCTTCCTAACAACATTGTGAAAATTTTAGAAGTTTAAAATGCAACCTGTTGTCTGTCTGCTCTTTTAAGAGAAAAGCCCTGAATTCATTTTTCGTAACTTGGCAGGCAAATGATCCTCCAATCTTGCCCCTAGGGTATGCAAGAGTTGAGGTCTCTGCTGGAATTCGAGGTTCCCAGTGGACCGAGCCAGGAGCTCTGATTTGGTTTTGAAGGCAGCCAACTTCAACTTTTCACCTTCCTCCTCCATGTTGCAGACAGAACTGATCTGCTGGATTTTCAAGAGGTCACCAGTGCTGCAAGCTTTCTCAACATTGGTGGAGCAAAGGCTTGGAATACCTCTCTGGAGATCCACCTTCCCTGTACAAAGCTTCTGAAGTTTGCTGGGAAGGCGGCTGCTTTTCTCTTCAAAATATTCGAGACAGTCAAGAGAGGAGATCTTTTCCCGTCGACTCCTGTGACTCCCAGTAGGGGTGTTCAGAGGTGATGGAAGAGCCAAATTCTCTTCTTGCTCTTTCACACTATAGGGAGGAGTTGGAACTTCAAAGGTGCTATGAAATTGGGAATAATCTACACGGAAAAAGCCATCTTCCAGGGACATCACAGGAAGGAACCTGTGGCCCCAGAGGACTTCATCTTCTGTATAAGAAGTTCTGGCTTGGCATGTCATTCCTAAGAGAAGAAATCAGTAAAAGAATCAAAGTTAGGTGCGTATATTATAATACCACTCTTCCTGGAGCTCCTTCTTGGCTTCGTCCTTTCCTTGTGCTCTGCTCAGATGTGACATAGTCTGTTTAGCTGGATGCAACTTGTGCAACATACAATCCCACAAAAGCCTTGAGCAAGGGACCCCATCAAGTCGTTACTAAATTGTACTGATTTAACCTAAAACTGGGTGGACAGCCATGAGTTTGATTGCCTGTTTCAAAGGCAATCAGGCAGAAAACAAACACATTAATCTGCCTCAGTTACTCTATTTTTGCTGAATCTAAGATGTCCTTCCAGTTTGAAAGATGTATTTTCTCCGGGGGGGGGGGGGGGAAATAATACAGTAAGTTTTAATGCGACAGAAGGGGAAAATCATTAAACAAATTACTGAAGAAGAACATGTGCCAACGGAACATAATTAAGCAAATTGAAAAGAAATGAAATGAAACTTTTTTGTCCGAGCACCAGACATGATTTTCTAGTGGGGTGGCCCAGGCACACAACTGTGTCGCCCGCAGCCGGAAAAAAATGTTGCGCGCCGCTAATCTGGTCACTCTGGCAGTTTTGCGACATTTCCCCATGCCCTTTCTCGTTAGGCTGATTGCTCCAAGGTTTGATTTGGCTCTATGTAAGCTTTCTCCTGCCTGACCTGGTGGTGTTGGGCTCCCTTTGTGCTTTCCTAGAGAAGACACAGCTTTGTTCAACCATAATCTGGTCAGGAGTGGCATTTGGTTTGGATGGAACTGAGGAAAAGCCTCACCTCTTACCCATCGTACTTGCTTCTATTACGTGAACAGAATCACTACTCTGCATGAGATTAGCACTGGAATTCTTTTTTTCTAAGAAGAAGCAGCTATTAATACGCCTTAGGCTGTTCACAGTTTAACAAGTAACAATGAAGGCAGATTTGGGAATATATGCCATGATTCTGTGACAGCAATTTGGGACTCTGTTCAAACAATATTCAATTTGTATGTAACTATAGCTAACTCTTGACTCATGATCACAACGAAGCCCAGAATTTATGTTGCTAAGAAAGGCAGTTGGTGAGTTTTTTTCCCCATTTTGCGATCCTTCGTGCCACAGTTGTTAAGTGAATCTGGCTTCTCTGTGGACTTTGCTCGTCAAGAAGGTTGCAAAAGGGGATTGCATGATCCCAGAACATGTCAGCCATCATAAATTTGAGTCAGTTGACAAATGGCCAAATTTTGATGACATGACCATAGGGGTGTAAGTGGTCATAAGTCACTTTTCTCAGTGCTGTTGTCATTTTGAATGGCCACTAATCAAACTGGTGTAAGTCAAGGACTACCTGTACACATTCAGTGGTTGAGGGCAACCTAGATGCATCAAAGCAATTTCCATTTGGATCCAGCTGTGAAGGATTACACCAGATTACAAAGATATACAAGCACTTTTAGTTCTTCCATGATTCTCTTGGCATGAGAAAAGTTGTTCAATGCCTAGCAGCCCTTATGGCTAGTGCATTCCCTGAGCTTCATGTATCCCAAACTTAAAATAACCAAATAAATAATAATTACAGACAGGGACCATATAGACTCTCAGCCAAGAAACGTTGAACCAGGCAATCTGTACAAATTATGCAAATTAAACATTGCAGCATCTTCCCTTATTTTGCATAATGTATTGTACAGTGGTTCCATTTTTCATTACAGGTTCTTTTATTTTTAACCACTTATAAGGAAGTGTTTTTTTTTTAACACAATTATTACATAATGTGTTCTACTCTGTCAGTTGTGAGGTAAAGCAGCAGCAAGGGACTGTTAAATGAAGTTAACACACCTTGAACAGCTACAGATTTTATTACACTGCTTCTCTTGCTTCTGATATCACCACACATTTTTAGGTGGATCTCAACAGCCTCAAGGACTAGAAATCCGTGTTACAAATAATGGAAATGTGTTGACTGTTCTGATAACTGGATTCTAAACTCTCTTCCATATACCTTCCTAAATTATAGCACTGGTATATCCTGAGTCTTTTCAAACATCACTAGTGGCAAACTCACCACAACGCTCTGCAAAAGAATAATCATGAAGATAATCTAAAGGAAGTTAGTTGCTATATCCCACCTTTATTATGTACAATTCAAGGCACACCATTACATATGCCTAAAGAAGGCCTAGAATTTACAATCCCTGTTTTCTAATCCAGTACTTTAACCGTTACACCAAACAATTTCTGTGTCAGTCTTGTTTCAGTTCAGCCTTTCCCATTCCCAAGATGGTCTAGGACTTCAACTCCCAGAATCCTCAGAGTCTATACACCCACTGGCTAGGAATTCTGGGTGTTGCCACATTGAGAAAAAGTGACTTTAGTCCTATTTCTTTCAAGGGAGTTAAAGCATAACTAATCATCTAACCCATAGAAAGGTCAGGAGAACGCCATATGGCAATCTAGGAATGGGGTGGGCAGAGGATTGTGCAAGCGCTGTGTTTGTATAATTCATCCATCAATTCCAGTTCATGCAAAGGTAAGTAACAACCTGTGGCTCCATTTGCTGGTGATCAGGGCAATTCCACCATTGCCCTCAGTAGCTATTGACTTAGCTCAGTTTATTTAAGTATGTTTTACTAGCCCTGTTTAAAAGTCATACATGCCTAGGAAGTGCTGAAGGTAAAATACACAAATGGATACAGAATGTATATTCAGAGAAATGATTAAGAAACCCTTTTAATCTCTAATTTGGGAGTATGATTCATACTCTAATACAGAGAATCCTGAAAATGGAGATAGAAATGAAACCAGAATTTTCCCTTTTGGGACTAATGGAAAAAGAACTGGAGAAAAAAAATGGGAATTTTGCTGCTATATATGTTGACAGGAGCAAGACTATTGTATGTGCAAAAATGGAAGGACACTCCGATAGCTACCATGGAAAAATGGTTGCAGAAGTTGATGGAGTTGGCTGAAATGGCAAAACTGACCACTCTGATTAAAGAAAAAAACATAAGTACTTTTATTTCCACGTGGAAACGGCTTCCAAATTTTGTGCTTGATGTGGAAAAGAATGTAATTTTGACTTTGAGTTTTACAGATTAGATTTATAGAAATGACTTGTTCTTATTATTATGCACAAAGAAAAACCTGGGATCTGATGTTAATGCCCTAATTCTACTGCAACAGAGAGAGTTGGAAGTCAAAGCTTCTTTTTCTTTTCCCTACCTTTCCTCACTTCTCTCTCCCGCTTCTCCTCCCCTCTCACTGTTCTTTTATTTACTTTTGTATTTTGTAATATTTTATAACTTAATAAAAATGTTTGGAAAAAAAATATGGAAAATTTATTAAAAGAGGAAGATTCAATGGGGAAAAAAAGAAAATAAACTTTTAAAATCTCCTGGGGTAACAAAATCTTTTATCTCAGTATTTTGTTCCAAGCAGATCATGGGCCCAAGGCCAGAGGTGGAATTCAGCAGGTTCTGACCAGTTCTGGAGAACTGGTAGCAGAAATTTTGAGTAGTTCGGAGAATCGGCAAAAAACACCTCTGACTGGAGATTTTACAATATCCTTTTCCTGCTGTGCCCACCACAGAACTGGTAGTAAAACGAATTGAATTCCACCATTGCCCAATGCCTGTTCAGGGTTGTACACTCTGAGAATTCTGGGAGTTGCAGTCCTAGACCAGAGTTGGCAGGAGAGCAATGATGTCTAAGAGTTTCTGCCATCTTTTGACTGGAAACAGCTAGAATCACACTGATAAACTAACAAGAAAATCCAAGATCCAAGAATAAGTAATATTTACTAAAGAAAGTAGAAGCCAATAGCAAAAGAACTGTAGCAACTAAAATTACAGGTAGTCTCTAGTTTATGACCATAACGGAGCCTGCTAATTATGGTCGTAAGTCATAACAGTCGTAAAGTGAGCCACCCACATGACTGATCTGATTTTATGACCTTTTTTTGTGGTGGTTGGTAAGTTAACATCACAGTCCTTAAGCAAACCTATTGTTCACTATGGGCATTTTTGCCAAAAACAGGAATAAACATTGTTTTTTGGGAAAAACATCATACACTGCAATAACATGAGTAAGTAATGTGACTATAGCTACAAGTAGTTGTAAATGCAGGCTGCCCAAGCACCCGAGATGTGACTATGAGGTGGGATACCTAACCATGGCAACCTTGGAACCAAGTTGTAAGTATCTTTGGAGGGGGAGTGTTGAAACAGTTGCTAAGTGAACGATCTTGTCAAGGGTTATCCATATGGAAAAAGTTTCCCTTCTTTTAAAAAAATAAAATAAAAGGAGGTTCCTAGGATTAGTTTTTCCTTCTACCTTAGTTAATGACCTACTTGGCTTCCTTTTTTTTTTAGTGGGTTGGCCTTGTTTCTATTTGGCCGTTGCTTGTGTAGACTCTAATTTGCTCTTGTTATTGCCAGGCCCTATGAGAATTAGCAGTTTTGGAACAACAACAAGCGCCACAAAACCCGCATGTTCATGATGTTCAACAGTATCCAACTATAGGTAGTCCGTGACTTACTACCATAATTGAGCCCAACATTTTCATTGCTAAGAAAGGCAGTTGGTCAGGGGTGGGATTCAACTGGCGTTACTACTACATTTTGCGCCTGACGCACACTGTGCATGCGTGTAGAACAACCTTAGGCTGTGCCACCCAGACAGTTGAAAAGCACTGCGTGTGGGTGCACAGCGTTTGAAAAGCCTCTTTCCCCCTGCTTTTTCAACCTCAGCTGTGCCGCGCAAAGCAGCTGAGGTTGAAGAAGCAGGAAATAAAGGACAGGTAAGAGCCCGGGTGGGCGGGTGGGCTAAACAGCAGCAAACACCAAACTGGTTCGGTGTCTGCTGCTCTTCAGAGCTACCGGTTCTGTAGAACCGGGCAGAACCGGTAGCATCCCACCCCTGCTGTTGGTAAGTGAGTTTTGCTCCATTTAACTTGCAGTTTGCTAATCACTGCACTGCTTAAGTGAATCATATGGTCATTAAGCAAATCCAGTTTCCCCCATTCACTTTGCTAGTCAAAAGCTGTCTGGGAAGGTTTCAAATGGTGATCACATGATCCCAGGATGCTGCAACCATCATAAATACATACCAGTTGCCAAGCGATCATGTGATCATGGAGATATTGTAACGATCTAAAGTGTTAAAACTGGTCATAAGTCACTTTTTTCCAGTGCCGTTGTAACTTTGAATGGTCACTGAATGAATGATTGTAAATTGCAAACTACCTGCAGTCATAATTTCCTGTCCTTGCTCTGCATTTCCTTCTGACAACTCCTAAGATTCCTTGGTTCTTGGCCATGCTGAATGGGGTTGACTGGAGTTGGTTCAAAATATCTGGAAGGCAACATCTGCCTTCCCAGAATTTAGGGCAAAAATGGCCTTTCAGGCAGAATTAAATCTATAGTGTTTGGCCCCTCTCCTTTTAGGAATGTGTAAAACATTCCAGAAGTTTTTTGACCTAAAGGCTGTAATAAAGAATTGTTGAAAATCTCAGAAAAGCTGAAATACATTTATATTTTATTATACTTTTATATTCAATATTTAAAATAATATTTCTATTGCCCAGAGTCACTCTGTGAGAGAATTGGGCAGTTTCAAAATATGATAAATAAATAAAATATGATACTTAAATCATATGAAATCCAGAATGAAAATTCATTCACAATTCTAAGTTATACAATCATTGCTTGGGGTGAAAACTACAAGTGTATCTTGTGTCAGGAAAACTGTGGTTTGTTTTAATTTTGCCCTGTTTTTTTTGATAGGTTCACTACTCCTGAAAAAGAATATGGTATATTAGCATGCTGTACTTAGAGAAAAGTTCAACCCATACCTAACCAAGACCTATTTATTTTCTAAGTTAAGATTCAGTCAAAAAATATTGAGCAGCTATTCTATCTTGTCCTCCTTTATCATTAAGGACAAAATTCAGTAAGAAAGGATTGGAAAACAAACAAACAAAAATGAATGTAATCACGTGGTTACAATTGGAAAGTGATAATAACCCAGCATAAAATACTGGAAATGCTGAAATGGTAATCAAGAATCACTAGTGGTCCCCACCCAGGCACCTTTCCCCATTTGATCATCTCTAAGTGGGTTGATTAGAAGTCTTCTATTCCAACCCCCTGCTGAAGCAGGAACCATTTCAGAAAATGGTTGTCCAATCTCCTCTTAAAAACTTCCAGTGTTGGAGCATTCACAACTTCTGGAGGCAAGTTGTTCCACTGATTCATTGTTCTAATCTTCAGGAAATTTCTCCCTTGTTCTAAGTTGCTTCTCTCCTTGATTAGTTTCCACTCATTGCTTCTTGTCCTGCCTTCTGGTGCATTTTTTATCGGTAAGCCAACGCCTCTGATTAGTGATCACCACACAAAGTATCAAGAATGCCTCGAAATACAGATTACATTATACCTTAATACTAGATCTTATACTAGTGAAGATCTAGGATATGGTCCTTCAGCCGAAACATGTAGTCATTTAAATGCACAATATTTTATGGGAACCAACCCACCTTCTTCAGCTCAACTATAGGATTAAGCTATGCACAATCCATTCCTTAAGTTGGTTACTTAATTGGAATCAATCATTACAGTAAAAAAAATAATAATTTCACAAGGTTTTGGCGACATTAGCAAAGGAATGTGCCATTTCCTTTTATGTAGCTTTTACCCACAAACTTTTTCGTCCTGCCCTCAGGTGCTTTGGAGAATAGGTTGACCTCTTCTTCTTTGGGGCAGCCCCTTAGATGTTGGAACATTGTCACCCTTATTCCTTCTTTTCATTAAATTAGACACAGCCAATTCCTGGAACCATTCTCTGTATGTTTTAGCTTCCAGTCCCTTAATCATCTTTGTTTCTCTTCTTTGCACCCTTTCTAGAAGCTCAATATCTTTTTCTAGCTGCCTACTTTCTAGGCAGTTGGCCAAAAGTTCTGGGTTACAAGAACTACAGGTACCCACTAGGGTATCAGGTTGATGAAGGCTCTTGTTGAGTCATCAGCTGCCAGGAACAATTTCTCCTAGGGAACATCTTGTCCTCCACCAAGGACAAAGATATTTAATAATAGAGAAGGCAATCTTTTCCCAGCAGTTTTGCTACCAAGAGAGTAATAAATTAAAAAAATGGGAATGTACAGTAATCAGCAAAAGAGTTTTCTTGGGTCTATCCACTCATTTTAGAGGTACTCTAAAGGTCTTTTAACAGGAGCCATTCCAAAGAACAATCATTCCTGCACAGATTCTGCAGAACTTGAAGGCAGGTACTGCAGCTGAGCTGGCAGCTGACATCTGGAGAAAGTTGGCTCAGATTAAGCCCTGGAATAATTTACAACCCAGTGGGGAGGGAGTTTTTTTATCCCTTCTTATCTTCAAAGGCAAAATGTCCCCTCTATTTTAACAATGATAAATATGTCAGAACTTAAAAAGCATCTACACACTTCTAATGTTGCTTCATTAAATAGGTGCCCTTGAATCAGAATGGCCGTGCTACAGGTCACATAATTAACTTTCTGTATCAGTTGTATTTATTATTTGAGTCTTGGGGTTCAGCAAAAGGACATAAGTTCTCCACTATTCTTAAGTGGTGAGTATAAGATGAGCGTGGAAAGGGGCATCCATGACTTGCATTTATTATAAGGCATGTGAAAGAAGGAGGGTATGTGTGCTTTCATTGCATAGACATGGCCGTCTTTTTGACTTCTAAAAAATATTTCATTCACTCACTGAAAATGAATTGGTTGCATATCCCACTTGTCCTTTAAGTCTGAACAAGGGGAGGGCTCAATACAAGGGAAGCAGGCAACTGGCATAAAAATGCTTAGGGCCGATCAAGTTATTACGCATAATGAAGCAGCTTCCTCTGAGTGTAGCTGGTTTAAAGATTGTAGTAAGGTCTTAAATTCTTTCTTATTCATTTGCCCAGCTAATTTACATTCCTGATTAAGTTACCTAGTTTGGTAATGAAATGTCAGAAAGAAATCCACCAAGATCAAAGGACACTAAGCACCCCACAGTTTAACCTTGAGCTACAAATTCTCTTCTAATGGTAACTTAGAATTCCCATTCTTATAATTGAGAAACTACTTATCAGAGAAATATTCAATCATGCCATATGGGGGAGGAGGGAAAAGAGACATAAATTTGAGACAGAATTCAATATTAAGATGAAGGTACTTCTTATACAGGGCATGTCTTAAAGCATGTGAAAGCTTTGATATAAAAAAATATTATTTTAGGGCAGGTGGGGCAGAAAAAGCTTTCTTTTTTCATTACTGAAGAAATCACCATAGTCACAGATAATGCTAAATAGTTTCCAAGATCAAAGGTTGATTTCCAAGCCTATTAGAATCCACATGAGGAATCTTAACTAGCTTGTAGGTAGAATATATAAACTGTACTCACATAATAGTTCCCCACACTAAACTATGATTTATTTAATTTGATTTTTAATGGCCTATCCAAGACTATGAACTGCTATCAAGGCTGACTTCGCATTTGTAGCTTTCCTTTCCAGATATACAAATAGACTACTGCCTACTAATGCGAATAGCCTTGGGCTAGCTGTCCCAATGTTCACTGAGCAATGTAATAATAAATAGTAAGTATAAAAAAGGAAGAAGAAATAATGTTTCTGATATACTTTCCCAGTTGACAAATTAACTATTGGGGATGAGCATCAAATCTGAGTGTAAACAACGCTAAGAATCTGATTCCTATTTCATCTTTGCCCTAACGCACAAATGATTGCATTAGGGAAGTGTTAGCCCTTTGAAGTAGTTCAAATAAGAAGCACAACAGTGAGTACTAACTTTACCATTATTGTAAGATTACATTTAGAGAATCTTGCAAGTCTGAAAAGATTTCTCTCCTCCTTTACTTTTACTTCCCAGAAAACTAGGGAAAATCTATTTTGAAATCATTCTGTGGGCTGAGATACTTTTTGCCTGACGGTTATCTAGTTTGCATTCTTCTTGTTGCCTCTCACAGTCATTCTCACATAGCATTACAAAAAGTCAATCTACCTCTCCCTCTTTCCATATCCACAATAACCTTGCACTTACTTACAAGGCATCATAAGAAGAAAATACAACATGCTTGGAAGTAACAACCCAATATTAAGTTTATATGGGCGGCACCTGATTGTATCACTTACCTGTAGTTTCAACAATGCCTTCAAGGATTACGACAATTTCAAACTGCTCGCTCCTTAGGGATCTTTGCGAGAGGGCAAAAAAGGGACTCTTATCACTGATTTCATGACAGATGGTTAGAGGAGAAACGAGGAACAGTTGGTCGGCCCCGGTTCCAAATCCAACATCAAGCTCACATTGGTCTAGTGGCAAGAATTCTCCTTCTGGTGTCTGTCGTGACTAAAGATAAATGGAATGAAAGAGAAATCATTTCAGCAAATTAACTAATTTTGCAGCAGCAAAAGTGGGGAGGCAAACTCTTTTCAGTAATATTCAGAGCATCTTGCAGACTGCAGAGGCTTGATAAAAATGAACGAGAGATGTTAAAGTCGAACTCAATGGCAAAAATGGATTTTATTGGGTCAGCCCCCTTCTACCATTTACTGAGCAGTTTGGATCAGATTCTCCATGAGGCCTGATCCAAGACAGGATCCGTTCCTCCAACTGCAAGTGGTAGGGCACAGCATTATCACCATCGTTGCTAGCCATTCAGGGGTGTCTGATCCCCGATGCACTCTATGGATCAGCACTCTCCATGCACCTCAGTCTCACACCACCTCGTTTAGATTGCCACAGTCATCCTGGTGTCAGGGGTCTTCAACCGTGGCAACTTTAAGACTTTTGGACTTGAACTCGCAGAATTCCTCAGCCAGCAAAACAAAGCTGGCTGAGGAATTCTGGGAGTTGAAGTCCACAAGTCTTGAAGTTGCCAAGTTTGGAGACCCCTGCTTTATAGTGTCCAGCCAGAAGATACTAGAGTGGCCCTTCTCCTTTCTCCTCTCATCAGTCCCAGCATGACTGATTTTTTGAGTGAATCAGCTCTTGTGACATGACCAAGGTGTGACCAGCCTTGGTTTAGCAATCTTGGCTTTGTGATATTTTTGGTGAGGTAAAATGATAAGCAGATCACTTATAACCAGGCATCCCTGTGGATTGCCTAATTTAATACCCAGTGTTCTAAAGCCCTGTTTGTTATATGGATTAAAAAACAACGGTTTCCAAAATCATTTAATTCAAACGCTTTGAAAGAAAATCCAGCCTTCCCAACTTCAAATGCCCTCCAACTGAATTCCCAGCTCAAAATTCCCAGCAAAGACACATACCAAGAATACATAAAGATCCTCAAGTTGGAAAAACAAATGAGTTAGATACATTCATTTCTGAAGTTACCAAGCTCATCAGACCTGAGTAGATCATGACAGTGTACCTTCTCTTCAGATTTGAAAGAACCTGTCAACATGGGTCCTGGTGGGTTCCTTCCTTGTGGAGCGGGAAGGCTGACATTACATGTAGAGTTAGCAGCAGAAAAGTTGAGATGATTGATTTTAGGATGGCACTTAGGATGGCAATTCCAACTCTGTCCTCAGATGGGTAGCATGAGCTTTAAAGCATTGCCTTAAGTGCCATTAAAGGTAATAAGAACAGCTGGAAACTGTAGTTTGGTAGCAATACCCATGATTTGCTGACAAAAGATCTTCTGCACCATCTCATTAAAAACAAGAGCAAGTTAGCTGAATGAATAATTTCTGATTGAGATTTCAGAAGGTCATAATCAGAACAGCCAAGAATGAGTAGGTTACATCTGAGAGTCCAATAAATGAACTCAGATATTTGCAACCCAGATCTGTTAGCCGTAACTTAGGGAAACTCAAGAGGACAAAAAAGTGGAAGATTCAGTTACAGTAAGGACCTTCAAACTTGGCCAGTTTAAGACTTGTGGACTTCAACTCCCAGAATTGCTGAGCTAACATGACTAGAGGAGGAATTCTGGGAGTTGAAGTCTAGAAGTCTTAAAGCTGTCAAGTTTGAAGACCCCTGAGTTACAACAATATTTCTCAATGGCAACAACTTTAAGATGTGTGGGCTTCAACTCCCAGAATTCTAGTATGCTGGCTGGGAGAATTATGAGAGTCAAAGTCCACATATCCGAAATTGCTAAGGCTGAGAAAGAGTGAATTACAGCATTACTTTATGTGTTTATTTGATTGTATATTCTGGGTTTAAGTGGGATTACAAACCGTGTATAGCATTTTCCTGCCCTGTGCTCACTGGTAGGACTAAGAAAAGGTTATTTGCAGGCTGATCTTGGAAAAATGCCTTTTTTGCAGAGACAGCTAAAGTGGCCTCTTTGCAGATCAAGTTTAGGATGGCAGGACAAGCACAGCAGTAGCCTTTCCCTCCTGGACAAGTAGATGTGTTTTGCTCAACCATGGTTTACAGATAAACCATACTGCCTGAATTCACACAACAAATTAAAGAAAAATCACAATAATAGACCACATGGATTGGATTCCCCAGAACTTGCAAATTTATACATGTTTTTCTATCGTATGTTAAGAAAGATTGAATTAATCTGTATTCATAAGTGGGTAGGTATGATTGTAGTTTTAAATGGAGTAGCTAATGCTTCGTACCCAACATCTTTTTTAAATAAAAGAACTGGGCTTACATTTTATGCTAAACTATTTAATGCTTTTATTACTGTTGAGTCACACATTTGTGCCACAAAAATCCAGACACCTATTGGAAACCATATCTGCTATCTGTGAGTGTCTGGATTTTCATAACCCAGAACCGGTAACCCTATTTGTTACATAAACCACAGCAGGCTACGTTCATAGACCATACATTACAATTACAAACCATAATGGCTGAATTTGCAATACACTGCAGAGCTAAAGCTAATATAATTTCCTGATTAATATGTTGCGTGAACCTCTTTTGAGCATTTTGATGACTTCATGAGGTGGTTTTTTTTTTGTTGTTGATTAATTTAGATTTTTTCCAAGCATCTAAGGAAAATTGTTCTTCGAGCTCCCTCTCTCCCTCCCAACTCCTTTTTGCCACTCCACTAAATACAAAAATCAATCACAGTAAACCATAATATGTTTCTGTCTGGCTTTGACTTAGTGCAATGAGTAAGCCCAGCCACTCTAGCTATGAATCAGGGTACATTACTTATTTGTAAATACGCATAGAAGGATGGCATAGCAGTAGGTGTACCTCCTTTAAATCCAGAAGAACCTCAGGTGAAGAAATGAATTTTTGGAGCTTAATATATGTCTCCTAAGCGTTAGATATTCTTTCTTGTTTTTACAATATTTTTTGTTATTGTTGGCTGCCTTGTTTAATAATGTTTTGCCAGTCTTGTGGTCAGTAAATAGCTTGGTAGCTCATCTAATCTATAAGCACGAGTTTGCTCAGCATTGCTTTTTTGCTCCTAATGCAAAAAAGATTGCTGAACAGATGTGAGATGTGCCTGCTTTGTTTTATGATTTCTGATTAATGCCACAACCCATGGTTTAATGCAATTTATGAATGTAGCCTTCTTTGGAAAGATTTACCTTCTTCATGAGAGCGATTGATGAATGGAAAGATGGAAAGTGCTCTCTGATACCTGATCATCAAAAGCCTAACCTCAATGCTTTTTCAAGATATGATAAAATACTCCAGGTTACTACTAAATAGAACAAGGAGAAAAAAACCTCTGAATTGTTACATATTTAGGAAATGCAGGATTGGGAGGCTGGAAGAAAGCATTAAATCCACCCTAATCTATCTAAATTCATTTAAGTCCAAAATATGAAATGATTAATTCTTATTTTATCCATACTGAAGTGAGCTACTGTTATTTAGCTGGTTGCAGAAATCTAGAATGCCATGAAATATCAGCAGGGCTACTATGCCTATTTGCCATCATTGATGACCATGTGGGTTTTTTGTAGCCCAGGTATTTGCCTAATGTGCAAACTAATTTCTTTACAGGATCCGAAATATAAGATAGGAGAATTAATGGAAAGACGTGTCTTGCTCGAAACCCAGCATTTCACTTTCTTTTAGAATCATTTATTTGAGATATTGCTTCTCAAACTTGGCAATTTTAAGAAGTATAGACTTCTAACCCCCAGAAATGATGGTTGACTAGGGTTCATATATCTTAAAATTGCCGTGTTTGAGAAACACTGAGCTGTAGTTAGCCTGAGCTGACAGAATGGCAGCCAGTACAACATCAAAACCATATTTTAAAATATATCCCAGAGCAGAATTAAGCTTGATCCAATTGGCACGAATGCCCTATGCCGGGGGTCCCCAACCACCAGGCCATGGACCGGTACCGGTCCGTGGAACATTTCCTACCGGGCTGCCGGATTGCTGGGTGCCGCCATCTTGTTTGACGAGAAAGTGCTTTCGGGTGAGCTTTTCTGGTTGGAAAGCAGCGTTTGGGTCCTGAAGGAATCCTCGCGCCTTAGTTTCATCGAAGGGAGGGGAGCTTCGAACAAAACTAAGGCACGAGGATTCTTTCAGCACCCAAGGCAAGGCGAGCCGAGCGACCGTCCTGAAGCCGTCCCGAAGCGAAGCCCATCAACAAAGGTACAAAGGAGGAGTTGAAGGTGGCGGGGACAAGCGGGGGACGGCTGGCTGGCCGGTCGCTTGGCTCGCCTTGCCTTGTCATGCGTGCTGATGCCGGTACCGGGCCGCAGATCATTTTGTGATGCCGGTACCGGGCCATGGCACAAAAAAGGTTGGGAGCCACTGCCCTATGCCACCTTAACTTTTCCTTAAGAACTGTTAAAGACACAGGAAAGAAAATATTCCACATCTTTTCATTTACTTTGGAACACTGGATATTAGAAACTTGATCCTTATGTTTACTTTGACATATTAGGAACTAGAACCTTGACTTCTAAAAGCTGAAATGTTCAGATTGCTCAGTTCAGCTGGAAAGGAAGAAGTGCACCCCCTATTTTGCTTTTGACCTTCAAATGCCACCATTGGAATCCAGCTCTAGGAAGTGCTGAGATGCCTACTGGTGCCAACTGCCACAACTTGCCTGCTGTCAAAAGTCTCCAGCACTCACCAGGGTTTGCATTTGATAGTCAAAGCACTTGGTTTGGACTGGGGCCACAAGTCAGAGAACAACTCGTTCCAATACGAGTGACAGCTTGAGGCACTTCCTACTCTTGTGCCGTGGCTACAGCAGGATGGGGAGGAAACGGTTCTTGCCAGGAGGAACAAGGGCTGGCTAGCTGCAGATTTCCTTCAAATGCCACCCTCCAATAAGAGCAGACCTTGGAATCCATCCTGAGTTTTGTGTGGCTAATTCAGTTTGCAAAAGAAAAAAGAAAGAAAGAAAAAGAAGAAAGAAATCATGTTCAGTTTCACACCTTGGAATCTGCGACCCTGACAAGATAATTCTTGTCATGGGGAAGGATGAGATAAAAATGTTATACTCTGCTTACAAGTATCTTGTATGCCAAAATAAAAAGATAAACAGTAACACAATATTATCAGCATTACCCTTTATAATAATTGGCATTCTTTTATTATGGGACATAGACCAGCATAATGCTTTGAGAATGCCTTAGTGGTTTTTATGGTGGGGTGCTATTTGTTATTCTATAGGGTACGTTTTATGACCAAAAATTGATGAGAAACAAGTATGGACTGAAACAGAGGGTCAGTTTATTACCAGGACTTGTCACTACTAACTGGTCTTATTGGTTTCAGTGGGGCTTAATTACAGCTAACTATTTAAAATACAAATATATGCATGTATAATGAAGAGCGATGAGCCAGATTGGTGTAGTGGTTAAAGCAGCAGGGTGGAAAATGGGAAACTGTGTGTTCTAGTTCTGCCTGAGGTATTAAAGCCAGCCATTCTCTCTTAGCTCTAGGACATAAGCAAGGGCAAACTACTTATGAAAACCTTGTCAGGACAACTGCGAAGGACTAGTCCATTAATCTCTAAGCGTCAAGGCAGATTCAAAGGAACAAATAAACAAACAAACAAAAAAGTCAAGAAGGAACCCCACGTAGTTCAACAGGATTCATCATGGAATTTAGTATGTCAACAATTAACTTACAATGAACAAGAAATGGATAACTATTAGGGTCTATTAGAATATGGGAAGAGATAGTCTTCAGTAGGGACCATAATTTCCACTGCAAAGCAAAGTAGAGGTGAAATGAATTGCACCCAATTTTGACTTTTTTTTGCCATGATTGCTAAGCAAATCAGTGCAACCATTAATTGAATCGTGGTTATTAAGTAGATCCAACTTCTCCCATAGACTTTGCTCGTTGGAAGCCAGCTGGGAAGTTTGAAAATGGCAATCACACGACCCTGGTATGTTGCAACCTTTGGTACTGCATTCCCATAGTCAAGCGCTTGAATTTTGGTCAAGTGATCATGAGGATGCTACAATGGCCATAAATGCAAGCATTAGTTGTAAGTCACTTTTTTCAATGCCATTGTAACTTCGAATGGTCACTAAACAAATGGTTGTAAGTGAAGGATTATCTATACTATAAATCTGGAAAGTGCCACTTATAATAGAATTGTAGGAGAAGGATCTTAGCAGGTTGGACCTAGACCTAATTAGGACTTTATTAGACTTAGTTTTCACCAATTCCAGTTCTATTACTAAGCAGTGGTAAATCTACTACTCATATCATTTCTATGTATGTTACAGGTGAGGAACTCCAATGATAGAATTATGGAGGAAAGGATACTTAATTTTGTGTATATGGGGGTGAGATGTCCATGTATTTATTATTACAATTTGTGCAGAGATTTTTATGGATTATTCATATCATGCATCTAGATTCTTCAGTGTCACTGTGGTTTAAGAATATTCTAAATTCAATATTCATTGGCTTGCACTAAGCTCTGGAAAGATATTATGCACAAGTTGAGAGCTTGAGAGTGCAGTTAGTGTTATACTATTATCATTTTTAAAAAAATCTAAACTCCCTTGAATTGTCAAAGGTCAACATTTCTACTGATGCTTTCATTAAGTAGGGTTATTTGTATTATACTCAACAATCAATTTATATGCTATCTTTTAAAATGATATCTATCTTTTTTTCTTCTGGGAGTAACATGTGCTCGGCTTGATTTTCTGAAAAATATCGAGGCAGCAGAAAGTGCATCCGGATTATTATAAGAACAAAAGCAGCCATTTCTGTAGTGCTACAAATTTCATTCAGCAATAACTGTCTGCCATTATATGTATCACATACACTTCACTAGAGTATCAATTGTAAAAACTGTGAGAAGCTTAAAAATACGCCATCTTTTACAAGTTGGAAGGAGATCCAAACTATACGAAAATAAAGACAAGAAGTACTTATGTTGCTGTCTGAGAAAATTTTAAAAAAATGAAAATGGAGATAGGCATGTACCTAGATGTTTTTAGTTAATTGGAAGTCATCCTGCTAAAGATTTCTAGTCTTGCTAGCTTCTGAAATGGCGACTATTATAACTTCTTGTGTCCACGCATGTTTCTTATGTACAGCATTGCACAGGCAAGGAAAAGACTAAATTGATCTAGCTGCAGATTTTCTTGTTCTTTCTGTTTCTTTCTCTGGGGGTTCTTCTTTGTTTTCCAAAAGCAGCTGTTCCAGACCTCTTTGTCTTCTCTGTCTTACAAATATCAGAATTATTTTAGTTCTTTTCTTTTCAGGTGGAAGGAAGTACATAGCACTGAGCTGTTATATTGTTGTACAAGTAAATAAGAGTTACTTTACAACTTGTTATGATGATGATCTGTTTGACAGGTTCTGCCATAAGGGTATTATTTGGTAATCTAATGCTGTCTTCATTTGATGTCTCAGATTTGTAACTGACTTGGATGTAGTTTTAGACTCTGGATGGTTAACACCTTCTTCTTTATTGTGTGAAAGCCTATATTTCTACCGCAAAGACCCAGCCTAATGTTAGCCTTAGGTTCAGATAGGAAAGTTGTTTCCTTCATGCTACATGAAATTATGACAAAGAGGAAGTATATTTTGAATTCCTCACTGCCAAGGACAGACCTGTCTGCAGAGGTAAGAAGATATTCTTTGGTAGGAAATATTCAATTCCAGATAATTCAGAACGGTATTCATCGTGTTTGGTTCCTTGCCCACCGCATTTTCAGTGTTATTTTTCCTCCTGGCTGCTGTTCTGAGTATTGTTTGCTCCTGCTGTTGTAGAATGATTCTGACCTGGAAGAGAGTGGGCTGGGTGTAAATTGGTTTGGGTGAGGGCTCCTATGTTGAACAGATTGTCAGGAATGGCAGCTGTGGCAGTAGTACCAGTCGCCTGCAGGAATGGAAAAGCCTGGAATCTATTCTGTCTGACTGGTGGGGTCAAAGCAGAAAGCACTGACCATTTATTGGCATTGCAGAACATATGTAGGTACCAGTCAAGGCAGCAGAGGAAAAGTGGAATGGCATACTGCATGTGTTTAAAGACATTTTCTATTTAGCATATTTTCTCTGTCTTTCAGAGCTGGCTTTATAAACATTTTGGATTTAAATCAAGCTTGCTTAAATCAAGCCACCCAAACTCAAAAGCCTAGGGCATTTGTGATGGAACCTTAGTACGTTCTCCTAATTTTTATTTGTGTATTAACAAAATAGCAAAGTTCACCAATGACTTACTCAGAGGTACTTGCAAACATTCAGTGACATTTTCTAACTTGATTGCTTATTGAATGTTTTCTGGGTTTCGAAGTTTGTTGGTTTTTAAAGAGAGAAGTTGTGAAAAGCTGAAGTTATTGAAATTAATAAAATACACCCTGATCCTATGAACGTTACTGGAAACAGTTTCCTAATAAGTGCAGAAGGCCGCAACTGTAAATCTGTAGTCTCTAGTTATATCCTCAAAATTAAATATCCAAAGCAAAATCTGGAATTGTGTATATTTTACCAATATCACAAAGCATAGCAGTGAACATCTATTATCCTTGGAGTGCCGGCTGCAACTCCATAAGCCCATTTCAGCATCTTTTTTAGAGCCCATTTATTCTTAGTTTAATATCTACTGATGTGTATTATTTATACAGCAGCTTTCCTTTGCCACCCACTATCATGTATGAAATGTGCTTGCCTTCTCCCATAGCTCTTTGTTCCTCCTTTGCAGAGAGGGGGAAAAAAATAAATAGTCTTAGAACGGGAAGCTGGATCTGAAGCTTAAAGACAGGGCTTTGCTATGCCCTAGAGCAGAGCTTGCAAGATCCGCATGCAAGAAGATAGGAAGAATCTTACCCACCACAAGCCTCCCTCCCTTCCAGGGAATCCTTTCACCCACCTTAATGAGTTTGCAACGGATCTGGGCTGAGACCATGTGGCTGTTGCGGAGGTTGCCCACCCGAAACATAAGGCAGAGTTTTCCATCTCGCTGCGAGATGACAGCAGCACGGCTAAACATTAGAGTTTCAGCACGTTTCTTGGGTTGGGACATTTTGATGAACATGCATCCGATGAGGAAGGCATCTACCACAGAGCCCAGCAGTGACTGGAACAGAAAAAGCACGATTCCTTCTGGACAGCGCTCAGTAATGTAGCGATGGCCGTAGCCAATGGTGGCTTCTGTCTCAATAAAGAAGAGGAAGGCTGAGGGAAAGTTGTAGACATTAGCCACACAGGGGTTATGTCCTGAACTGGGGCTCTGGTGTATATCTAGGTCCCCACGCAAATAAGCAATTCCCCACCACATGGAGGCCATCACCAGCCAAGCCACAGTGTAGGTCAGCAAGAAAATGAGAAGGTTCCAACGCCACTTGAGGTCCACCAGCGTGGTGAAGAGATCGGAAAGGTAGCGACTGTTCTCACTGCCCAGGTTGCCATGCTGGACATTACAGCGGCCGTTCTTGTCAACAAAGCGCTGCCGTTTCCGATGGGATGGTGCAGCCACCACTGCCTGATAGTCATCACCAAACTTTCTTCGCACAACTGACATCCTGAGGAGAAGGAGATTTCCTTGCACTCTGGGTGGTTAGTAGTAGAACAAAGGTTGGTTTCAGTGTGGAAACTCTGTTGTTTCATGCAAGGGTCCCAATGTAGACAATCATCAGCAGAGCAGACGGTAGCTGGTGGTCTCTTCCACTTGGCATGGGCTGTTGTTGGAGATCAGTGGAGCTGAATCTAGAGAGGTCTTTTCTGTACCACTGCTTGGAGAACTGCCAAATACTAGCACAAAATAAAATCCAGATGATTGTGGAATCTTTGATTATTTAAAGCATTGTCTTGGGAGAGGATGATGCCAGAGGCACAGAACAAACATTGAAACACAAGGAAAAGACCCAACTGGTTTGGCAGATACTCTCTTATGATGCAAGCGGACTGGCACAAAAGCAGGATAAGGTCAGATTATTGGGGACCTCCCGTTTGCTCGTTTTGGGTTGTCCCTGGCCAGCTGTCTTGCAAGGAGTGGCTTCCTTCTGGAATGGCACAGGCTATCTAGCACGGTCTTTATAAGCACCACATCTGAAGGCAACCCCAGCAGGAAGCCAGGCTTTGCAGATGTGAGAGTGGTGATGTAGATAGATGCTTTGGTGGTGCCCTCTCGAGTGAAGCTCTCTAGCCCCGGGATCAAACTCAGCCAGATTCGTGCGCCGTATCGGTAACAGGAACCGGGGTGTGGTAACCAGCCAGCCCTCAGGTACTTGGCCGCGGCAACGTCCTGGATAGAGGCGACAGTTGCAGGAGTAACTGCTGCTCCGGTTGCTTCTTTTCCTCAGGGGTTCTCTGCCCGGAATTCCTGAGGGACGCGTGTCCCCCTCTCGTGGATGGAAGTTCCCTTCAGGCGGCACTTGGCGAAGCACTGGGCTTCCCAGTGAAAAGCACGGCGAGAGGAAGGACGGCGGTCGGGCGGGCGAGCGAGCGAGCGAGGAGAAAGCCTCGTCTTCTGCCTCTACCCAAATCCTCCTTCCCCTCCTTCAGCCCCTGTCGCGGCGCGCTTGGAAATAGCTCTGTGAGAAACTTCCCCTTTGTGGTCTTGCCCAGCTGAGGCGGCGACGGATCTTGGACAGGCAAGAAATTGGGAGGCAAGCGCTGCACGAGTCTCCGGTTGTGGCCGAAAGCTCCGAGCGAGCCAGGGGAGCAAGCTGACCGCGCTCCACACCGCCGCCTAGCGGCCGATGCCACCCCCACCCACCCGGGACGCCCCTTCTTGCCTCTTTTGGGCGCTGTGGGGTCTCCGCGACGCGATCACTCTCCCCCCACCCCTCCGCCGGCAAGGCGCGTCCGCAGCTGTCGGCGGCCTCCAGCGGACGTTGGTGGTAGACTGGCAAGGGAACCCAATCTTTCCGCCCGCTCCCCGTGGCTCTCGGTGCCTGCCGCTGCTGCTACAGCTGAAGGGATCCCGTAGCGGAGACGGGAGGCGGCAAAGAGCGAGATCCGTGGAGTAGCGGTGAGTCATGCGACCGAACGACACAACGGCTCAAGCTCCATGTGAGAACGAGAATAGAGAAGTGGAAGGAATCCGAATTACTGTCCGGGTTCTCTTTTTCCCCTACCTGGATCTGAGTTGGAAAGCGCAGCAAGAGATCCCCCGAAGCGGTTGTTTCTGGGACTGGGTGCGGGGAAATTAAAGATGGCTAGTTTTTCCCTTCCACCCAAGGGTTCAGCCAGCCATGATCGTGGCCGAAAGCCTCTGCGGATGAGCAGAGCAAAAAGTAGTGGCACTAGAGCTGCCACCTGTCTGAACTTAAGAGGTCTGTGTATTGTCAGTATGTGGATGGGACTTGAGGAGATACTGTCCTACCAGAGAGAAATGCAGTCGAAGCAACACAACCGCAGTCCAATTCCTGATCTTAACTGCAGTCCTCTGTATTATTTTCTTTTGCCCATCTCTGGTGAAGAGCATCTGCTGAAAGACATTTCTTCCATTGTCCAAGCCAACCTGCATCTCCAGCTCTCTATTTCCATGTGCATCGTTTGCACCCCACAATTCCACAAATGCAAGCACCTTTATGCCTTTTACAGGAAAACTGCCATTTCAAAACAGCGCTTTGACAGCCAGTATATCTTTCTGTAAGAGAGGGGATTATAACATTTGGCAATCTAGTTTTGCTTTTAAGTCACTCAAGTAAAAAGGACATTAATCATCTGATCCAATTAAGCTGCTGCTTGAAGAAATGCTTCAGTTCTATTATTTATTCAGTTTTATTCCCTTAAGCATTATAGTTGGATATAATGTAAAATTTGGTTGGGGGGAATTCAGCCATTTTTGGAGGAAAATAATATTTTGGAGAGAGAAAAACTGTTTTGGTCCATGAAGCCTGTAAGATGTCTTCTAACGCGTAAGAATAATTTTGCCCATATTAAAGGAAGATTGGAACTTCAAATGAGCACTCTAACATCTGTTCAAATATTTACACCCTCAAACATATGATTGTAGGGCTAAGGGCCACTTACAGAGGAAGGTTTGCTAGAAGTCTTTAACTCTTTCTCCATTTATTTTTCCTGGCCAACATTATTTCTCTAGCTTGTTTCCCTCAATCTCATATTCCAATTTTAAACACAGGTGGGTCTTTGATGCTAGATGTGTAAAAATCTTAGATGGGCTTTTGCTGGGCAGAATCCATGAGACTAGGAGGAGCTTAAGCATTTACAGGGATGGGGAAATGATGTGAAATAGGAGCCAAATAGTTGCTCACGAATACAATGAGATGGGATTGGCAGAGTTTGGCAGGTTAAGTAACCTGTTTAAGCATCTGATCCTCCTCACAAGATGATCATGCCATATTTCTCTGATGTTATTTTTTTTTAATTGAAATAGAAGACTGGATTTAAGAGAAAAGAGTGAATTGGTAGTAAGAAGTGTAGGCCCTGTTTAGTGATTATTCAGTAGTCCTTGATTGCAACCCTTTGTTTAGCTACTGTTTAAACTTACAACAGGTGACTTAAACTGGTCCTTGCACTTAAAACTATTGTAGCCCACCCCTCCTATCAAAATTCTGATGCTTGGCAACCAGCACATATTTGCAATGGCTAAAGTGTCCCAGAGTGATATGATCTTCATTTGCAACCTTCCCAGTCCGCTGCCAACAAGCAAAGTCAGTGGGGAAAGTGGATTCACTTAATGACGGTGTGAATCATTTAACTGCAATGATTCACACTAACAAACATGGCAAAAAGAACCATAAAGTCAAGTGTGACTCAACCTGCTAGCTTAGCAATGAAAATTCTGGTCTGAAAATTGTAGTTGTAAATTGAAGACTACTTACATGAATGTTATAAATGGATTGTACTGTAAATCTGCCATTGATTATATTCTATGTTATTTTAAATATAGTTTTATACATCTTTGTTGTTTTTATTTGTATTTTGTTTATTTTGTGTTTTGATGTTATCTTAATTATTGTGAGCCACCAAGATTCACACATGTAAGATGGGTTGCTACTGAAATTGAATTAATAAATAATAATAATAAATAAATGACTATGAACATTAAATGTTTGGCCCTTTGTATGCTTCCCACTATTGCTTTTTCAAAGTGATCTTCTGAATGCAAATTGCTCTGAATATTGCCAACAGAAAATTGACCCAAATGTGGTATTGCAAACTGAACAATAGGTTTATCTTCTGCTATGCTGGAGTGATTCTTGACAATTACTGTTTATTCCTTTTTGTTATTCTATTTTTATTTTATCCCCAAAATAGTTTCAAAAACAAATTCAAAACTTCAAAAAAATTGTCTTCAATAAACAACAACAAATTGAATTTGTTGAAAACCCCAACCCCCACAAAACAAGACATTAAAAAGTGCATTAAAAAACCCCCAACACAGACACATAATCCCTGGTTGATTAATATACAATACTAGTTTCCCACTCATGAGAAACACCTCCCCCGTATTTTTAAACTACTAAATCTATGTGCAATTTAGTGGCCTGTTATCTATATATTAATGACCAAGTTGTTAACAAGAATAAAAAAAAATAACATTAATGTTTCAAAACTCTCTGATAACAAACTGTTATTGCAATCAACTCATGGAAAATTTACTATAGCCAAGTCATCCCCAAAAATAAGAGTGATTCGTCCTGGATCAAATATCCATGTTTGCTTCTTACGACCATCTCTTATCTATTATTGTCTGCTTAAATATCATAGGATCAATCTCCAAAGTCTGTCTACCTTCCAAAAAAGGTCCAGGATTAAATTGTCTTCCAGTTAAATGTGATAAATCCATTCCTCAATTTCCTTCAGACTTCTTAAGGAAAGTTAATTTATTGCTTTTCCACTCAGTTATTGTTTATTTCTTTACCATAGTTAAGGAAATTATGAAATTGTGATGCATGAACAATGGATGAAGTTTCACGTACTGCTTTGGGGCATAGAACAAGGATTATCAGTATCACAACAACTGGCCATTAAAGATATGAAAATATCTCACTCAGAATTGAATTAATTTTTTAAAATTCCCTTGGCTTTAACTATAAAATATATCTTAATTATAATTATGTCATGTCATATTATGTTTATTTCCCTTCCGCCACACTTTTTATAGCACTCTCATGTGGGTTTTTTTTTGGGGGGGGTTCTCTTTGACAATGTATCACAATCACTATTATTTTTATGTTTTTGCTTTTATTTTTTATTATCAATTTTAAAAAGATTGAAAATGTCCAGCTCTAAATTAAACTAGTTTTTTAAAACTTGTCTTGGCTTTAACTGTAAAATGCATTATAACTATTTCTCAGCTTAAAACGTCTTAAGGAATCACATTAACATTTTCTCCCACCATCCTCCTTCACTTCCAAAATGTATTAGTTTCTTGCTTGCCAGCAGGGGTCCCAGGAGTATGGAATGAGCCAGGATCCCTAACTCAATCTAATTTATTTGCAAATCAAGCCAGTTTCTCCCTGGAGGAAACACTATCAGCAAAAGATCAGATGAACTGAAGGGGACTGAACCTGCTGAGATATTAACTTTCTCCTGTTGAGCCTTTGGAGTCACCTTGATATTCTAGAACCTTTATAGTGTATTTAATTCAATCTAGAGTATAGGTCTGTGTAGGAAGAAACTTAAGTGACACATCTAACATTAGCTAGGAAGTGCACTGCGACTTCTACCTGATTATTTTTTATTTTATTCTCTGGCTTCCAAGATCTTTCTCCACAATTATCTTCATTTATAAATCAGCTAGAATTAACAGTGGACATCACTAGAAAATTTTTGTCTCACATTTACTATTAGTTTCCCTACTTCATATTTCTTAACTGAAGGGAGTATTTTTCTTCCTCTCCTACCTTGTATTCTTAACTTTCCAAATCAACTTTGTTCCCAAGAACCCAATTTAATTTCAGATTTAAAAATTAGGCTCTTGTTTGTTTCTTCCTTGGATGCTATGCCCTTATTCAGTAAAATCTAATCAGGTCTGTTTATTTTATCATATAGTAATGCAGGCATTTTTATTATGCTACGAAGTCTGCTATTATTGTCATTATGGTTCATCTCACATCTAGCCAGATGTTCAGGCTGGATTTGGCATTTTGTTCAGCTACCGAGTCCTTCCTAAGGACCTGGAATAGGCAGATCTGGATGTTTGATGAAGTTACAAATATCGTTGCAGGATGCAAGCTGTTCCAGGTAAAGTTATCTTTTGCAATTGATGATGAATTTGTCAATGCTGATGGTGTTCAAGTGGTGCTCCAGTTGTTTTGGGATTCCACCTAAATTACCTATTACTATTGGTTCTACCTTTGCTTTCTTTTTCCCAGGGCAGTCCTATTCCTATTTTCAGATCTTTGTATTTTGTTATCTTCTCCAGTTCCTTCTCCTCTGTTCTGCTGTCTCCAGGTACTGTCACATTCACTGTCCAG